CTATTAGCCTTGTGCAGCGTAAAACTATCGAAATTGTACTAGCTATTATACGCACCTGTCTTATATAGGACACGTATAGAACTAACTATAAAACTAAGGTTATACTAGACCTAGGAAATTTAGTTAGTGCCCTTATTAGCTATCGCCTAGCTAAGCAACTAGACCTTCGACAATTAAATAGGGCTAACCTACTAACCTTTGCTTAGTTTAATAACGCTCGGCACTTAACCTATAGAGCCTACTATATTCCTATAGTTCTAAGAGACGACCTCGGCAACGAGCGCTTACTAGATTTTACTGCCTACGTAGTAGATATAGACAACCTATATAGGGGAGCTACTATTATTATTAGCAACCCTGTTCTTAAGCACTACGCTATAGCTATAGACCTAGGTAGCTAATAGTAGCGATTCGGAATCGCTAGGAAAGAGGACATTAAACACATTAATACTAGCGAGTGCCCTAACGATATTAGGGTCCTATTTATTAGCAACCTAACACCTGCCTTAGCTAATCCGATAGCTAACCTTCTCGGCGGAGATAACGATAAACCTGTGCCCCCTAATAGCATAGACCCTAATTAGCTTGCTCGTATACTATAGCCTATTCGAGAGACCTATATTAATATATTCAAACACTACCTAGTATCGACATTGCCTATGTTTAAAGAGACGGACTACAAGATCGATATTATATAGGGCATAGAGGTACCTTTTAGGCCGCTCTATAACCTTAGTAAACGAGAGCTTACTATATTGCGTAAGTACCTAGATAAGAACCTAGCTAATAGTCGAATTTAGTATAGCAATAGCCCTACTAGTACACTAATCCTGTTTGTCCCTAAGAAGGATAGTAGCCTGCGTTTATACGTTAATTACCGTAGGCTTAATGCTATTACTATTAAGGACCGTTGTCTACTTCCGTTTATTAATAAGACCCTCGATCGCCTATCTAGCGCCCGTTTTTATACTATATTAGATATTAAAGATGCCTATTATCGCATCTGTATTCGCAAGGGCGATAAATAGAAAACAGCCTTCCGTACCCGCTATAGCTATTTCGAGTACTTAGTTATGCTATTTGGCTTAGCTAATACCCCTATAATATTCTAGTCCTATATTAATCGGGCCTTGTCCGGCCTGTTAGACTACCTCTATATAGTTTACCTAGATAATATCCTAGTTTATATATACTTACCTAACATTGCGGAGTACTAGGCTATAGTCCGTAAGGTACTCGATCGCCTAAGAACCTATAGCTTGTATTACAAGCCCTCTAAATGTACCTTTGCTACTAAGGAGGTAGCCTTCCTTAGCTTTATCGTATTAACTAATAGTATTAAGGCTAATCCTAATCGGATTAAGACTATTACTAAGTAGCTAATACCTACTAGTATTAAGGAACTTTAGTTATTCCTCGGCTTCGCTAACTTCTACCGTCGGTTTATTAAGGGCTATTCGAGGCATGTAGTGCTGCTAACTAAGCTTACTAAAACCAAGGCTAACCCTACTAGAGAGTTCAAGTGGACTAGTAGAGCATAAGCCGCTTTTAACGGTTTAAAGAAGCGCTTTACTAAAGTCCCCTTGTTATACTACTTCGTACTAAGCAAACTAATCTGTATTAAGACTAACGCTTCGCAGTTTGCTATATTAGCTATTATATTACAATAATCGGACAAGGACTACTATTAGTACCCGATTGCCTTCTTTTCGAGGAAGATAATTAACGCTAAGCGTCGCTACGAGACCTACGAGCAAGAGTTGCTAGCTATTGTCGAGGCCTTTAAGTATTAGAGGCACTACCTCGATAGGGCTTAATATACGATATAGGTCTATATAGACTATAACAACCTCCGTAGTATTACTAAGGTTACTAGGGTTATAGGTCGATAGGCTAGATAGGCCGTCTACCTCGCTAGGTTTGATTTTAATATATTATATCGGCTAGGCGTAAGCAACCCTGCTAATAGCCTATCGAGGCGACCTAATTACGATAGCGAGACCTAACATATCAATTCTTTGTTTCTAACCCTATAGTATAAGATTGCTATAGCCCGTATTGTTAATAAGCAAGCGTAGGATAAGCGGCTTACCGGACTCCGCGACGGCTTAAAGCATATTAATGCTCTTACTATATTAATAGTGCGTATTAAGGCAAGGGCTAAGGATATAGATAGGAGAAGTTATAATAACTCCCTAGTCGATATCGCTATATATAGTAACAGCGATTAAAGCACTGCTATAGTTAATCCGGCTGCTAGTGCTATTAGATATATATAATACGTACCTCGTTCGATAGTACGGATGCTATTAAATAACCTTATAAATAGGGATAGTTAATCGTTTATAGATAAGCTATTACGTACTTAGTAGAGAGACGCCTTTGCTGCTAAACGTATTAATAAGCTTGTAAGTAGGCGAACGACTCGATCTAGTAAGAGTAATAATTAGTCGATCGACGACAAAGGTTACTTAAAGTTTAAGGGCAGATACTATGTCCCCGCTAAACAATCGATTAGATAAGAGCTTTTAAAGAGGCACTATAATAGTAAGCTCGCTAGTTACTATAGTATAGAGAGGTCGCACGAGTTACTATCGCGTATATACTACTAGCTAAATAGTAAGCGGTATATAAAGGAGTATATACAGACCTATGTAGTATACTAGCGAGTTAAAGCACTAAAGTACTTACTATTTAGCGAGTTGTCTTTACTCCCTGTTCTAAAGAAGCTATTTGCTAAGCTTATAATAGATTTTATTATAGGCCTTCCGCCTGCTAAGCGTAGGGGTAGTAAGGATATATTATATATATAATACTATCCTTGTTATAGTAGATCAATTTACTAAAGGCGCTCGATACATCCCGGCGCGCAAAGATTAGACTGCTATTAATATAGCAGAGGCGCTATAGACTAATATCTTCTATACCTATTAGGGAACCCCTAAGGGGATAGTATCCGATCGTAGATCGATACTAATATCGTACTATTAGAGCGAAATATGCCTGCAGCTAAGACTAAAGCATCGGCTATTAACAGCCTTCTATCTATAGACTAACGGTTAAATAGAGAGGCAGAATGCTACCCTATAGTAGTACCTACGCAGCTATATTAATAAGAACCCTAAAGATCTAAGACGGCTAGCGCCGCTATTGTTAACATTACTTGCTATTGTTACCACGCCTATAGATACAACCTTACCTATACTACGAGCCTAAAGCACTATACTAACTAAGTTAAAAGATTGAACCTGCTAAGGGTTTAATTAAAACTTTAAGCCGCTTAAAAGATTAAGTAGGCTAACTAAGGGCAAAAACTATAGAGCTAAGCTAGCCGGGGTCGATCTTACGGATAATAGGTTACTCCTTAATCTTTCCGACCCTTTAAGCGAGGCGAACCTTAACTATTGCACTTATAATAGCCTTTACTTATAGAAACTAGACGAACTGTGTTTTTAAAAAGATAAGATTAATTAATAATTAAAGGCTGCTAAACCTAACTAATTAGGGCTAGTAAAACTACGATAGTAAATAATAGCCCTCGTAATAATAAGAATAACCCTCGGAAGCGGACATTGCTAGGTCTTTTAAAAGTAGACGCAAAGAACTCGATATAATATTACTTAGAACGGAGGCAGTGCTATAATACCTCGTACGCCTACCTATTATAGTAGGGAAGGCGCGCTCGTATTATAATTAGTCGATAGTCCTTAATTCTCGTAGTTATATATTACTTTATTATATATAAGGATAGCGCAGTTAGAGTTAGACATTATATTAGAAGGTAAGGTTTAATATAGTTACATAATTAGGTAGTTAAGTATTTAATTTAGCGCGGCTAAGCAGCTTATTAGATTTGCTAAGTTAGTAGTAATAGAGGTTAAGGTTAGAATATAGACTAGCTACGAGGGCGCGGCCTTTAGAAGGGAAGCGTATATTAGGACTAAAGAGATTATACGTAATTAGTATATAACTAGGCTCGAGTGAAGCTAGGGCCTTAATGCCTTAGGTAGGGCTTAGCGCTTAGTAATAGGCTAACTCTCCTACCTTCCTCCCTCTCCTCCTAGATCCTTATCGAATACTACTTGTACCTACTACTACCCTATCTACCTGCTAACATACCCTTCTTACAATTTCGACCTTATATACTTCGAAGTAAAGTGCCGCTATAGGAAATTAGCCGCACGAATTTTAGTAAAATTAATAGCTACCTAACTAGGACCTAGGCGGTCGTCGCTACTAGATTATTAGGCCTAGTAACCTTAGAAAAGTGCCGAAGCCTAAGTACCTATACCTACGGTTACGCTCTAAGCTAATTAGGGGAAGCTAAAGTAAACTATACGTAATAGGAATAGTTCTTATTACTAAGGAAATAGGATAAGACCTCGAGAGACTAATAACTAAGCGTAAAGGGATTACTATAACTCCCTATACCTAGTTATAGCTAGGTATACGCGTCGTTATTAGTTAAGGCTACTATATTATAATAGCGTTAATATACCGTTACTACGGGGTTAGTAGTAATAGCTTAGTTAGAAGAGTAGTTATTATATAATAGATATTAAAGTAGGGTTTAAGAGTAAGACTAATAGTAACGTAATTATTTAGTTAAGCGTTCGATTTAGCGCGTAAGAAGCGCGGCTTATTATAATTAGTAACTTAGCGAGGGGAGTAATAGGAAATAGCTATAAGGGCGTAGCCTTTAGAAGGGAAGCCTATATTAGAGGGTATATAGAAGGTATATAACCGCCGCGGCTAAGTAAAGCTAGGGTCTTAGTGCCTTAGGTAGGGCTTAGCGCTTAGCGTTAGCCTAACTTCCTAACCTTCCTCTCCCTACTTTATAGACTTTATCGAATACTATACGCTCTTAACTATACTATCTACCTGCTTACCTAACCTATATTATATTAAACTACTATCTACATATTATTATTCTACTTACTCTTAGAATCTATTAGTCGAGCGAGAGTAGTATAATTCGTATAAGATCCTCTACTGCGATCTTATATCGCCGTAGTCTTAAGCCAGATTTCGTCGAAATGCTCGCGCTGCTCAATCTCCAATATTCCCTTAGATCCCAGGCTCAGAATATGCAGTAAAGCTTGGGCCGCCACAATGTAAGTATTGTTCGCCGGTGGCAGCAGTGTCTCGAATGCAATGCCACTACGCATACCATCATCCTCACGGTCGATAGCACTCTGCACAAAGTCCAGGAAATTCGATGCTTCCCCGGTCAAGGCGGCACGCTGCCACTGAGACTCTGCCGCTTTCTGAGTGTCGACGACTGCTGCTGCGCCGTAAAGTTCGAATTCATCCTCGCCGGACAAATGGATCTCTGAGAGCTGGAAGTTGACCTCGTCAGGATTGATGCCGCGACCGAGTAGTGGCGATGCTGATGTAAACCGACTGCCGCGGCGGGAATGTACAAGGTCGAGTGCCGCACCACCAAATGAGACTGAAGTTGGAAGACCCCCACCGCGAGAATCTTTGATGCCGCCCTGGCTGTTCCACGGAAAGATGCTAGAATTTTGGCGATCTCCGAGAGGAGTAGGAGCTTCTCGCCCGTGTTCGATTTCCTGATCGCTGTCAAGGTTCGTTTGGACGTCATCGTTATCGTATCGAACAATCTCGCCGGCACCAATTTCATCCAAGTACGGACCACTGATTCGGGAGCGCTTGGGACTACTGCTTGCCGTTTCCGGGTCATCGAGATTTCGCTTCTTGCCATTGTTAGGCTCCATGCCCGTGAAGACTTCAATAAGGGCTGCACCGGAGAACATGTCGAGAGGTCCACGCAGGCCTTGACCGAAAATTAGACCAGCTTCCAGAACCCAGTGCTCGGCATTCTTCTTGGCGATACGGTTGAGGCGAGCGGTCTCCTTGCCTTGGCCCTCCTTGAGCATGTTTGACACGTAGTTGCGACTCCACTCGGCGAGTTCGGAGTTGTGTAGTGTGGTATGCTTGTCCATTGCAGTGATTTTCTTCGTGCGTGCTTTTCCATCCTTGCGCACAGCTGCCATTGCGCTGGCTGATTCGCTGTTGCCTGCATCCTGGTCTCCGCCGTTGTTGAACGCAGCTGTGTCTGCAAAGACTGTGTCGAGATTATTCTCATCATTGTTGCTGTTCATGGATTCATCAAGCTGCGCGAGTTCAGCATTGCACGTGTACATATGTATGTCAGAATTGAGCACTCACCATTGGCTGATCAGGCGCACCATTATCTCCTGCGTCGTTTGCAACATCAGAAGTTGAAAGGAGCTTGCCAGACGGTGTCATCCGTTGGCGCACAGTCTCAACTCCAAGGTCAAGGCCCAGATCATCGTCCTCGAGCAGCTTTGGCGCGGATCTCAAACCACTGCCCGGACCAGAGTGGCCGCGAAGGCTGAATATATCGCGACCTCCCATTGCATCGCCAATGGGGGAGCTGTGCGAAGGTGGCAGGTTCAGTCCACCGATGCTTTGCTGCGAGCCATTGTTGCGGTGCGACCGTAAGCTTCCGGGCGTAATGCTCATCTGTGTGTCGTTGAGGTCGATGCGAAGGTCGAGATCCTCCAAGTCCTGTGGCATAAGATCCAGTCCTGGCAAGAAGTTCGGGTCATCTTGTAATACGAGTTGCTCCACGCTGTGATAGTGTCAGAGTGGGTTCGCGCGATGAGCGTGAAGGTCGCGGTCCAGAACATACCGGCTTTTGTTCACTCCTTCCTTCTCAAGCTCAGCCTGATGCACCACTCGGAGCATAGCGCGCATATTATTGCGCGCAGACTCTGCATCGCTTAAGACATAGACGCACTGCTGCGCGTAGACACGCGTCACACCGTACCTGCGCACGCGTCAGTACTGCTGTCAAGCCACGCAGAGGAAATACTTGCAGCAGATTACTCTGGAGGCGTAAGGCCATGGGTGCGTCTGGATTCTCGATGGTCTCGCATGCCTTGACGACGTCCACGTCGAGGATGGCTTTGCGTGACACTTTTTTGAGGGTTGACTTTGAGCCCAGAGTGGCGACGAGCCTTCGCATGGGCATTAGTCGACACGTCTATACTGGTCATGCTGAACGACCTACCAAACTGTTGCCACGCCATACTTGCGGCTGGTAAGAACTACTTCAGCGTCAGTGCATGCATGCCCTCAGATGCGTGAAGCGCGTTGACTCGTCACCTTCAGCGCTGTAGAACATGGTGACCGCAAGTAGGCGGCGGGTCGAGCAGCAACGAATGATGTGAGGATGAGAGAAAGTCACGAAGAATGCGCGAATGATAGTCAACGGACCATGGCGCTTGGGAATGCCAGGTGAAATGCGGTCTGGTTGATGAGTATTTGGAGGATATCGCCAGAGAGGGGAGAGGGAGAGAGGGAGAGGGAGCAGGCGGGCTCGGAAGACGGGAGCTTTGTGCTTGTCGCGTGTGAAACGGCCAGGGACCCACTTGCATACTGAAGACAGGTACGTACGGAAGGAAGGAACGCGGTTCTCTGTTCGCATGCCATGCCATCAATGCACTTGTGAACGTACCAAGCACGCCTGGCCTGGCCTGTCGTGTGTCTCGATCATTTTATACACAACGGGAGTGCGACGTCCTGCTGATGATCCGTTGCACACCTGCACTTCCCCTACTTCTCCTCCACGACCGGCAGCTCAACGGCGCGATACAGCAGAATGAGTGCACTGTGGCTTTCGCCACCGCCCGAGAGCGTTTCGATCTTCTCACTCTCCACTTCCTGTACCTTATCATCATTGAACCACCACCACTTGCCATCCTCAGCCTTGCCTGCTGGTGCAGACTTCTTCACGTACGACGTGTAGTGACCAGAATCTGCCGAAGAGCCTTGGTGCGTGACGACGCCGCGAAGCTCGTACAGACCGGTCTGGTTAGCAGTAGGATCCTGCTTCAAGTCAGGGTGCACCAGCGACAGCAGTTCCTTCTTCGAGGCGAGAATTGATGCTGCTCGCTCTGCTTCGATTTCCTCGTCGGTCTTGAACTTCTCCTCGGTGCCGCCCATCTCGGTATCCTGCTGCGCTCCGTTGCTCTTCTTCTCTTCAGCGAGCCCCGACTCGTCTGCAGGTCCCTTGGCCTTCACCTCCCGATCCCGATCCCGCTCCTCTTTTTCCTTTTTCTTTTGAAGCGGTTCGTCGCTACGCACGCTTGCCCCTGTCTTAGCTGCTTCTTGCATTTCCTTTTGCATGCGCTTCTGCCGTTTCTTGGCACGTTCTACGTCCTCTTCCTCTTTGCGCACCTCACGTATGCGATCACGAACAGGAATTAGCTTCTTTCGGAGTTCATCGGTGCAGAACTCGGTGACATCGATCTCGTGCTGGAATGTGACTTTGCGTAAAATCTTGGCCTTCTTTCCGGTGTCTTTTCGCCAGAAAAAGCGAATGAAGTGAATCGGCAAGTATTTTGGCAGGCGATCGATCCGCGATTCGCGAGTGTAGACTGCCGTTCGACCCAAAGACTCCGAGTTCTTCTCCAACTTCTCGTCCAGGGCAATTTTGAGACCTTCTCGCATGTGATTCGTGTCCGACTGGATGTTGCACTTCAAGTCATTGAAGCTCTCGGTGTTAACAACAGCTTCCTCCTCCGGCGCCTCTTCGCATTTAGTTGTGACCACGAATTTTCCCCCCATGTATTTGTCTACCCACGTCTTAAAGCCTTCTGGATCTCCTTCAAGCTTGAGCTTCTCGTGCAACACATGCACCAACTGAGACCACACCTCTTCTGCATCTTGCTGCGCGTACCCATGTCCGTTCTTCGCCTTCTCTGCAAATTGAGGGAATTGCTGTCGGAGAGCGGTCAGGAACATGATCGGCGGGAAGCCTTGTTGTGTCTCGTTCATCTGCTGGAATAGGTCGCCAAGGGCACGCGTCAGGTCCTGTCCACCACCGAGGCCAGAGATCCCGGCCTGCGCGAGTTGTTCTGGAGAGAACAGCGAAGATGAAGAGGATCCAGCCGTCGGTGCAGCAGGTCGATAGGTCTTGAGTTCGCTGAGCAGCTCTGGTACAGATCGCAGCGTTTGGAGTGTGGCGTTTGCGTAGCATGTATTGCCCATATTCTGCAAGCCAGCAGGCGTTGCACCTTCTTGCTGCGCCAATTCTGCCTCAGTCATGTCCTCTGCAAACTTCATTTTCTCCCTCGGCGCAATTTTCATGATTTTATCCGAAGGATTTCCAACCAGAGTGATCGTTTGTCCAGCCTTGAGCCCGAGCGTCGACAATGGCGTATCATCCTTGACCATCTTCTTCGCGAGGATTTTCTGATTCTCAGGCTCGACATTCGTGAGAGAGTAGAGCTGCATCTTGAGCTCCTCACCAGTACCGTCAGGTGAGACCTCTACATCGTAGGTCTTGCCTTGATGCTTCACCTTGATCGGTATATCCGCCATACTTGCTTGGCTGAGCCGCCGGGCCTATTGGTTGCGGGATTCGAGGTAGTCGTCGGGGATTCGACAGCTTGATGAAAGGAGCGGCGGTATTTGGGAGGCGTGGAAGTAAAGAGAAGCTTCGCATCGACCGTCAACAAATCCGGAAGTCGTCATGCAGGTCCGGCCGCGCTAACTGAATTGGGAGGCCTCAACATCAGCCTGTGGTTGTCGTCAATCTCAGACCTCCAACGCAGGTGCAGGGCCCGGGCCCTAGGAAGTGCGTTGTTAGCACCATCAAAAGCATGGCATCATACGCCAGATGAAGGAGTGCAAGCGCCAGAAGAATTGCTTGGCATGTCATGTGAAATATGCATCAACCTGTATAATGCTCAATGCTTACGAACCCAGGTCACATCATCTGACTATTTAATATACTTTGATGGATTCTCGATCCTGTTCAATGCTTGTTATAGCGGCTGTGGATCTGAACCGAGATCTCATCAAGGATCCAAATGCTGGAGAAACATCGACACACTATGACAAAACAATGCAAGGTCGTTCGGAAATTGACGTTTTGCAGTTCTAACAATAGTCGCACCGTATCCATATCTCTATCAAAGCCGTAAGAGCACTTCACAACAGCTTTCTCGTCTCGCATAGGCGACTGTATACAGCTAGTGCGAGGTTAGAAAATATCTCACAGGTGCTGTTGTTCCTCTAACCCATCAGACTTGCCCAGATACTCGGCCTCCTTCCTACGCCTCTATCCTGCTCTCCATAATTGCGCTTGTTTAGCCAGGAAACATTGCTAGAGCTGTAATTGCGTCCTTGCTCGGCAATGAGCCTTTTGCGCTTGCTTGAATCCACTGCTTGTACTTCCCTGCCTTCTCCGCCCTGCCTCCTTCTTAGGCTGCATCGCTTGTAAGCTCGTATGTGACTTCCTTTATCTTATCTCGGATCTCGGGCCTTCTTTACCCTGCGGAGGCGCTAGCAAACTAGCCTACGCGGCAGGTCTAACTAGAGACTGTCTTCGCCTTAGTCCTTTACTATTTAAGTATCTCCTTATTATTTAATTAATAGGAATAATAAAGGCTTTTTAATTTTAACCTACTTAATAGCGTTAAAAAGCTCTACTTTAAACTTATAACGACGGAGGGGTTAGGTCGATTTATAAGACTAGTTAGATTTATATCTAACTTCGATACGAATCTTAAAAGCGTAAAGGTCCCTAACGGAGCGAAGTTTAATTTTAGCCTTAGGAAGGAAGTTATAGTAGGTAGTAGGCTTACTAACGAAGACTTCTATATCTTTCTCTAGAGAAGTTCTAAGTTAAGGTCCCTTATTAGTAGACGAGTAGCCTAAGTTATATAGAGCGAGTATATCTTCTATTTTAGTACCTAATATAAATTATATAATCTTAACTTCGATATATTATATTATAGCTTTACTACGGGTTATATTCTCGATCTATAATATACTAGCGATATTATCTATCTAATTAAAAAAAGCGACGTTTATTTCGTATTAGAGACTCGAGTTAAGCTAACGAGGTATTAGTATAATACTATTAATATCTACTCGTTTAAAGATCGAGTATATTAACCTTATATACTTAATAATAATTTATTACTTCTTAATATTAACGCGGCCTCTAATATCGTAGGCTAGTAAAGCATTTAGTTAGTAGATATACTAGCATTTCTAGAGCACAGCTTAATAACTAATAGAGTCCTAGTATTTCGCGAAGATCGAAGCGCTTTTAGAGAGAACAGCCCCTAGTAAAATATACTAATAATATCTAACGAATAAGAAAATACTAGGAAGTAGTAGTAGGTAAGCTAGAAAGTATCTAAGTTTTAACTCTTTCTTAGTTCCTAATAGGAGGCAAGTAATTCCGTTACTATACTACTAACACTAAAAGCTAGGCTTCCTACGGACGTCTAGACCTAGCCGCTTTTTATTACGAAAGCTTTACTAAAAAGGAAAGAGAGTATATAAACAGACAATCGCTAGATTTGCTTTAGTACGGCCCGTTAGTATATATTTATACTCGCTTTTACTTACCGAACTACGCCTATACTTAGAATCTTATTAAGTACTAAAATTGCTATCGATATATTCTAAATACTACTAGCTCAATCTCGCCGTTTAAGACTATAATTAATAGTTAAGATTGTTACTCTTCTTTAAGGCTAATATTACTATTTCTGTCTCGATCTAAGAAGGTTAGAAGAGGCGGAATTAGTAGTAGTCTTAGATTAAATCGTATATCTCTACTACTTAACCTTACCTATAATATTAAAGATCTACTCTATCTCTTCTCGTTCTAGCCCTAACACTTTCTATATATCCTACTTGTAGATCGTATTCCTTCTTAAAGAGTGTAGAAATGACTATAATCGCCTTATAAGAGCCTTTAATAATCTTTTATTCTTAAGCGCTTTTGTAACTACTAAGTATACGTAGGGTTATATACTTTTAGCCCTATTATATTAGGGAAATTATAAATATAGGGCGTCGGATTCTTATAAATAGGGTTTAGTCTTAGGCTAAGAAAGGCTTAGCGACTAATTTGTTAGTAAACGCCTACTAAATTGTCTATTTCTCTTTGTCTATTTCTCTTTTTCTATAAGCGTATATCTATTACTAATTCGAATAACTAGTACTATTTTGCCTAAGTATCTAAGAAAAAAGCGTAAGACAAAAGAGGAGTACTCTACGAAGAAGAATTCCGTACGAGACCGCGAGAGAAAGTAGAAGATAGATAAGAATAAAAGATCGAAGGATAAGAGAAGAAAGGCTCGGAATAAGGTATTCTATCGATAGCTAGCGCCTATAGAAAAAAGTAAAGGTTAGAATAAGAAGATAACCTAAAAGAAGGCTAAGAGGAGGAAGGAATTACGTCTAGTTTTCGAGCGTAAGTTTCTAGTAGCGTAAGTTAATCTAGCCGATAGCCGTAGCTAGTAGCTATAGCTAGTAGCTATAGCCGGCAGCGATAGCCGGCAGCGATAGCCGGCAGCTATAGCCGGCATTTTTTTCTTTAAGACGTTAACTAATAGCATTTAGACCTATAGCCGCTACCTCTATCGATACGACCGATAGTAACGGAGATATTTAGATACCTAAGAATAATAATACTAGAGTTTAGAATGCCGCGAAACAGCTTAATACTACGAATAAAGGGACTAAAAAAAGCGAGGAGATACTTTACGTCGATCTAGTAATAGGTATAGTCTTAGAGCCTAACGCTATAGACGATAAGCGCTAGGAGTAGATTGAGTATAGTTAAAGAGACGAGGTACTAGTAAAGGGCTAAGGCATAAGTCCTATTAATCTAGAAAATTATCGTTAAAGCTACTACGAAAAGCTAGTAAGGATTAGAATCGAGACTAGTCGTCTTTATATCCTCGATATAGAGTAGAAATTTCTTTATTAGTATTAGAGCGATGCCTTTGCGCCTATAAAGGCAAAGTAGCTTACGATTAATGCAATCGGGGCTAGGTATCTAGGGACGGCGGAAGAGTTACTAAAGGAGGAAGGGGTATAGGTAATTATTCTATACTCGGTATATATAGCCGGCGTTCGTAGCCGGCAGATACTAATAGTTAAATAGAAAGCGTTTCTCGAGGGTAGAATACTACTACTATATAAAATCTTTACTAAGGCAGAGAGGGCTTATATCCGGAATCTAAGCTACTAGTAGGATAGGTTAGCGTTAGAATTCTCTAAATCTCTATATAAGCCTCCGAAGGATTACCTATTTTAGCGATACGGCTTTATCTCGACTACTTTATAGATACCCGACGAAGCTCGAGCGCTCTTTAAGGTCTTTACTAAGAAGCGGAAGGAGTTCGAGGATTAGGATTAGTTAATAGAGCTATTAGTTAGTATTAGATTTCGTAGTTAGACTCGGCCTAAGTATTTGCTTATCGAGTATCTTATACCGAAAGAGGATAGATTAAGACTAAAAACGAGCTTAGATTCGTTAGGTATAGTAGCTCGGTTCCGTTAGTAGGAGAGAGCCGCCGTATAGAAGGCAAATTTTAGGTAGTTAGGATAGCTAGGGTAGCTAGGAAAAAAAGTCTAGTAGTTAGGCTAGCTAGGGTAGCTAGGAAACAAAAAAAAGGTAGCTAGCTATTTACTACCTAGCTATTCCTAACGATACGATACTATAAAAGAAAGGGTGTTTCCCTATAGCTACTAGTATATATCTACTACTCTTTACCTTACTATATAAAACTTTAAAACATGCCGACCGACATTATATATATACTAGGCGCTATACTAGGAAGCGTAATAACGAGACGATAGTCGAAATAGTCTACTATACGAACGAGATTGCGATAACGTCGAGAGGAGGTTATATACTCGCCTTCGAGCCTATCGAGTACTAGACGACGGTTAGGGCTAGATTTATCCTCTCCTAATCCTAGTAGTAGGAATTTATTATAGGGTGCTACTACCTAGTCCTTACCTTTACGGAGTCTAAGTAGAAGGTTATTCGGAGATATAAGAATATCGTATATTAACCCGGATATCTTTAAAAAGGCTAGCTAGGCGTATCTTTAGAAACCCGAGTATACCGAGTAGTTTAATTAATAGGTCTATAAGATATAGTTCCCTTTATACTTACGCTTAAAGTAGTATAAACTCTAAAAGTACTCGATACGATAGGGTAGTAAGGAGCGAACGGATATATTTGTTAGGGCTAAAGAGGCTATACGTAATTAGTATATAACTAGGCCGAGTAAAGCTAGGGTCTCGATGCCTTAGATAGGGCTTAGCGCTTAGTATTAGGCTAACTCTCCTACCTTCCTCCCTCTTCTCCTAGATTCTTATCGAATACTACTTGTACCTACTACTACCCTATCTACCTACTAATATAACCCCTATTATATAGTATTCGATCTACCCTTTAAGGGTAGCAGCTAGATAGTCCTTATTTCAAGCTTTTAGCGGTATAGCTACGAAGACTATCGATTTAACTATATTACGCCCGAATAATAGGACCTATACGTACTATTCTACTAAAAACAACCGCCGATACCTACTAATTCCGCTATATCCGCACTATAAGGGGCTACAATATATCGTTAGTACTATACCTTATTACAATAGCCGGCTTATTACGAAATAACAACAATAATAACCGCGGCGCCGCTAGTAGCGCTAGTAATAATAATACTAGTAGTATAGAGCCTATTAAGGAACCTATAGTTCTAGGTAATAATCTAGAATTGCCTATTAACGATATTCTTAACAATATTGTTAATCGACGATATCGCTAGCTAGCCTTTAGGCCCTAACTAGTAGGGAGACTTTAAGAAGCTATTTAAAACAGGCTTACTGCCCTACGCTAAGAGTAGCAGCTAAAGGATAACCTCCTCGAGATTCGCCGCCTTTAGGAGTTCCTAACAACTAATGCTAAACTAGTAGTAGGGCCTTCTTTACTGCCCGTCCCTATCTAAAAGAAGGATGCTAAACTTAAGGACTATACCGTGTTTAATAGCTCTAGTCGAAAGCAGTATAACGACTATATTCGTAACTATAAGCTTAACTAGCGTAATATACCGAGGGCCCTTCTAGACGACTATTTATTAGTTGTCTACGCTATATAGTACATTAATAGCGACCTAAAACGCACCTAGGATAACTATTTCGACTCCCTTAATAATCAGACCGCTATTTAGTAGCAAACCTATAAAACCATTATGCTAGACACCCTTAGAAACCCTATACTAAGGCAACAACACGCCTAGGACTAGTACCTTCGAGCTAAACAAAAGACTAATTAATCGGCTCGCTTATTTAAGGCCTATTTAAAGACCCTCGAGGATAACCTTCCGGCTAAAACTAATTCTATATAGATCTCGGAAATACGCCTAAAGCTTAGGTAGGAGCTTATCCTTAAATTAG